ATTACTACACTGTGCACTAGATTTCCAGGATTCATTTATTTATTAGTTGTAAGTTTGTACCCTCATTCGACATCTCCCCAGTTTCCCAACCCCCCACCCAGCCCCTGGTAACTACCATTCCATTTTCTGTTTCTTTGAGATGATTTCCCTAGGTTCTCTATATTTTCAGATAAGAAAAAAATGGGGTAAGAATTGGGGGAGGAAAAGAAAGTTGAAATGAATCTTCCAGGCAACCCAGACTTTGGAAGAATGATAGGTAAGAAGCAGAAGAGCACAAGGAAAAATCAGTCACTCAGGGCTTTCAGCTACAAAAAGACTTGGGAGAGGGAATGGAGACCTCAGTCTTTTTCTTCCCATAGAGGTATGTCTGACTTTCAACCACAGAATGTCTGGGGTGGCATTGGTGAGATACAACAAACTTCTTAGAGGAATCCTCTACCTTCATAGAATCTAGGGTATCTCAATTGCAGCCCAAAGCAAGGAAATGCAGGGATGAGATGAAAGATCAAAGAGCTCTCATTGGCCACCAAAAAAAACCTGGAAGCGGAGATATAAAGTTGGCTGAGTTCTCCAAATGTTTGAAAATCAGATAGTTCATCTATAAAAGACAGATTTTCAAAACCATCCTAGTGTCAACATCCCATGTCTTCCCAAATAGCAAATGTCCAACCACGGTCTCAAGAAGCTGCAGTGAACTGAGTTATGATAATACTGTAACAAAGGACAAACTGAGATAACTGCACAGCATAGAATGCAAGACTATAGAACTCCCAAAAGATAACATAGGAGAAAACCTAAATGACCTCGGGTATGGTGATTCTTTTTTATGTACAACACCTAAGACATGATCCATGAAAGAAATAATTGATAAGCTAGATTTCATTAACATTAAAAACTTGAGCTCCACCAAGGACAACATCAAGAGAATGTGAAGACCAAGGACAACATCAAGAGAATGCGAAGACAAGCCAGGGACAGGGAAAAATATTTGTACAAGACACATCTGATAAAAGACTGTTATCCAAAATATACAAAGAATTCTTAAAACTCAATAATTAAAAAAAAAAAAAACCATAATTTAAAAATGGGCCAAAGACCTTGACAGACAGACCACCTCAACAAAGAAGATATACAGATGGCAAATAAAATATGAAAAGATACCCCACATCATAAGTCATCAAGGCATGCAAATTAGAACAGTGAGATGCCAGTACACACCTATTAGAATGACCAAAATCTGGAACACTGACAACATCACGTGCTGGCAAAGTTATAGTGCAACAGAAAATCTCACATTGCTGCTGGGAATTATGGTGGAGCCACTTTCGAACACAGTTTGGCACTTTCTTTCAAAACTAAATATAAATATAATCTTACTATACAGCCCAGCAACCACACTCCATGGTATTTACCCAAAGGAGTTAAAAACTTATGTCCACACAAGAGCCTATATGCAGATGTGTAGAGCAGCTTTATTCAGAATTGCCAAAACTTGGAAGCAATCAGATGTCCTTTAGTAGGTGGATGGATAAAGGAGCTTCGGTACATACAGAAAATGGGTTATTATTCAATGCTAAAAGGAAATGAAATATTAAGCCATGAAAAGACATAGAGGAATATATTATTAAGGCATATTATTAAGTGAAAGAAGTCAACCTGAAAGAGCTACATACTATATAATTCCAACTATATGATATTCAAGCAAAGGCAGAATTATGGAGACAGTAAAAAAGAAAAAAGTCAGTGGTTGCCAGGGATGAGCCAGGCGGAAATGAATAAGCAGAGCGCAGAGGATTTTAGGACAGTGAAAGTACTCTGTACATACAGCAATGGTGGATATTTGCCATTGTACATTTGTCCAGACCTGTAGAATGTACGACACCAAGAGTGAACCCTGCTGTAAACTACGAACTTTGGGTGATTACGTTGTGTCGAAGTAGATGCACTGAGTGCAGCAAATGTCCCACTCTGGCAGGGATATTGATAATGGAAAAGCCTGCTGTGGGAGCAGTTGGTATATAGGAAATCGCTGTACTTCCCTTTCATTTTTGTTGTAAACCTAAAACTGTTCTAAGAAATAAAACATTAAAAAGAAGTTTGTTAAGGGGAACCTGGGTGGCTCAGTAGGTTAAGTGTCTGCCTTTGGCTTAGGTCATGATCTCAGGGTCCTGGGATTGAGCCCCATGTTGGGCTCCGTGCTCTGCAGGGAGTCTGCTTCTCCCTCTCCTTCTGCCCTTCCCACCCGCTCCTGCTTACTTGCTCTCTCTCTCTCACTCTCTCTCAAATAAATAAATTAAAAAATCTTTTAAAAAAAAGTTTGTTAAATTTTTGAAAGGTAGACTAGTTTCTCCCTACCCTAATTTATGCCAGATAGGTCCTCTTATTTACTTTTCTGTTGGATGGGGACGTCAGGGGACATCTATGGAACTCTTGCCTTCCATCAAAGACTACTGCTTTCTGGAATATAGTTACTGTAAATTTATACCCTCAGCATTTTGATCTTGTTATTTAAAAAAAAAAAATTTGATGTCCAGTTTATCCAGCTTACTTGATTGCCAGGGTGCAAATGATGTGGGGTTGGTTTTTGTTTGTTTGTTTGTTTTGTAATTTTAATATCCATACCAGAAGTACTATTTATAAACAGATTAAAACACAGCAAAAATATTTTATATGTACCCACAGATACACCATTTCTGTTGTTTTTTACCCATTTATAAAGATTCAGGATTCCATCTGGTACAATTTTCCATCAACCTGAATAGAATATTCTTTATATTTTCTTATAGTGCAGCTCTTATGGTAATAAAACTCTCAGTTTGTCTCAAAATGTTTTTAATTTACCTTCATTATGAATATATAAGCCCCCACCCAGGTTGACAGACTTTCTTTTCTTGAAATGCTTGAAATATATTTTTAATTGTTTTCCATTTTGCTTTATTTCCAATGAGAAATCAGCGAGGAGTCAGCCATTATTTTTTATTTTGTTCACTTTATCTTCTTGTAATGTGTCTTATTTCTGTGCTCCTTTTAAGATTATTATTTTTTCCTTTGGTTATCTGCAATTTGATTATGATGTGTCTTGGTATAGTTTTCCTTGTTTTGAGCTTGGATTTATGGGTTGCTTTTTATTACAAATGTGCGCCTGGGTGGCTCAGTTGGTTAAGCAACTGCCTTCGGCTCAGGTCATGATCCCGGAGTCCTGGGATCGAGTCCCACATCGGGTTCCTGGCTTGGCAGGGAGCCTGCTTCTCCCTCTGACTCTCTCCCCTCTCATGCTGTTTCTCTCTCTCTTTCTCAAATAAATAAATTAATTAAATTAAATAAAAAAACAAATGTGAAAAATGTCTGCCTTTATGTCTACAGCCTTCTTCTGATACTCCAGTTATATGCTTCTTAATATTTTTGACTTCTTAATGTTTTCCCACAGGTCACTGAGGTTTTGTTTACTTTTTTCCTCCAACTTCCTCCCTCCCCCCAGTGTTTCAGTATGGCTAGTATCTATTACCCTGTTTCTGCCTATAGGATTACTGAAGTTCTTTCTTTGGATAACTCTCTTCTTTCTGGTATTCTGCCTCATAAATTCAGGCCATTGGAGACTCTCTGCACTCCAGTCTATCCTCTTCAACTGTTCAAGTGTCACCTTGTTTTCCCTCCTTGTGCTATGCTTTGAAAAGTGTCTCCAGGAGCAATGATAGGGTTCATTCGGTTTTTTTTTTTTTTTTTAATTCACTTTTCTCAAGGATCACGATTCTGTGCTTCTTTTTTTTTCCAATGTGTGAAATCTATAGTTATAGAAGTATTTTGTACTTTTTGTTACTGCTTATCATGGAAAGGCTAGTTTAGTACCAGTTATTCCATCATGAACAGAAGAGTAAGACTATTTCATTTGTTGAGCATGACAGTTCTTACTCATTACATCCACATTGAATATGATATAAAATAAATAAAAACTATAAGAATATGTTTTATTTAGAAAACTAGGTACATTATTTCTAGAATAATTCTGTATTTTATATTGTCATCAATTAAAAAAATTTATTTTCTCTAGCTATTTTCCTTGGAATTTAAAACTACATGTAATTTATGAGAACTTTTGATTGCATATATATTAATATTTTAATTTTTGATGATTAATTTCAAGAACAAATACTTCAGATCAAACTGGAAAATGAAACTATCAAGATTTTTAAAAAATTATATTTGGATTACATTTAAATGCCTTAAGATTTTAAAAGAAAAAAATGGAATGATAGCATCTTTTGGGACTCAATGTCAAGAATTTTGATGACTACTTTTCATAAATGATCTTTTAAAATCCAATTTTACATCAAATAAAATATTCTAATATTTAAGGAGCTCAGAGCACTTGTGGTAAATTTTTAGCCTTTTTATTTTTGAGAATAAGAGCCTTTATTTGCATTTGCAGTTAGGTTGTGAAGGTTGTACTATGTTCAAGATAGTTTGTAAAGATGAATAAGATTTGATTAATGATTAATTACTTTCAAATATCATGCCACAAAGTTAACAATAACAAATATTGTCTTTTATTGTTTCTACTCAGTAAATTGAAGTGCTTGCAAATCCTTAAATATATCTTTAATCTTTTGAACTTATGAGATATCTTTCAGGGTTATGGGCAAGTTTCCTAACTCCTACCCTCCAGTCTCAGCTGAATGTCACTTTTTTTGTACATCCATGAAGTACCCTGGACATATTGCAAAAATAGCACATAATTTACAGAATTGTAATAATCTGTTGGCTTCTTTGTTTTCCCCCATTTGATTTTAAATCCCATGAGGCCAAGGAATGGTGTATTTTTCAACTTAGTGTCAATTATAGCCTGCAATACAGAGTAGATATTTTATACTTGTTTGTTAAGTAAACAAATGAGTAAATCACTTCTGTATTACAATTTGCATACAAAGGATTATTCCAGTAGGAATATGAACATTAGTGAAATGATTGGATGCTAACACTACATTTTGTATCTTTTCTTACAGGCTCTTAAATCTGATCTACAATGGAAAAATTTCTTTTTTATCTGTTTTTCATTGGCATAGCAGTGAGAGCTCAGATCTGTCCAAAGCGTTGTGTCTGTCAGATTTTGTCTCCTAATCTCGCAACCCTTTGTGCCAAGAAAGGGCTTTTATTCGTTCCACCAAACATTGACAGAAGAACTGTGGAACTGCGGTTGGCAGACAATTTTGTTACAAATATTAAAAGGAAAGATTTTGCCAATATGACCAGCTTGGTGGACCTGACTCTATCCAGGAATACAATAAGTTTTATTACACCTCATGCTTTTGCTGACTTACGAAATTTGAGGGCATTGCATTTGAATAGCAACAGATTGACTAAAATTACAAATGATATGTTCAGTGGGCTTTCCAATCTCCATCATTTGATACTGAACAACAATCAGCTGACTTTAATTTCTTCTACAGCATTTGATGATGTCTTTGCCCTTGAGGAGCTGGACCTGTCCTACAATAATTTAGAAACAATTCCTTGGGATGCTGTTGAGAAGATGGTTAGCTTGCACACCCTTAGTTTGGATCACAATATGATTGATAACATTCCTAAGGGGACTTTCTCCCACTTGCACAAGATGACTCGGCTAGATGTAACATCAAACAAATTGCAGAAGCTACCACCTGACCCTCTCTTTCAGCGAGCTCAGGTATTAGCAACCTCAGGAATAATCAGCCCATCAACTTTTGCATTAAGTTTTGGTGGAAACCCTTTGCATTGCAATTGTGAATTGTTGTGGTTGAGGCGTCTGTCCAGAGAAGATGACCTAGAGACTTGTGCTTCTCCAGCACTTTTAACTGGCCGCTATTTTTGGTCAATTCCTGAGGAAGAGTTTTTATGTGAGCCTCCTCTCATTACTCGTCATACACATGAGATGAGAGTCCTGGAAGGTCAGAGGGCAACCCTGAGGTGCAAAGCCAGGGGGGACCCTGAACCTGCAATTCACTGGATTTCTCCTGAAGGGAAGCTGATTTCAAATGCAACAAGATCTCTGGTGTATGATAATGGAACACTTGATATTCTTATAACAACTGTAAAGGACACAGGTGCTTTTACCTGCATCGCTTCCAATCCTGCTGGGGAAGCAACACAAACTGTGGATCTTCATATAATTAAGCTCCCTCACTTACTAAACAGTACAAACCATATCCATGAGCCTGATCCTGGTTCTTCAGATATTTCAACTTCTACTAAGTCAGGTTCTAATGCAAGCAGTAGTAATGGTGATACTAAAATGAGTCAAGATAAAATTGTAGTAGCAGAAGCGACATCATCTACTGCGCTACTTAAATTTAATTTTCAAAGGAATATTCCTGGAATACGTATGTTCCAAATCCAGTACAATGGTACTTATGATGACACCCTTGTTTACAGGTAAGAAAAATTAACCAATTTTTTATACTTACCATGCATCTACATTAGTAGGGCTTGTTAAGGTACTACTGACTTGGTTTTTTGTTTTGTTTTGTTTTTGTTTTTTTAACTGGCAGTGCTACTCTGTGTTGTAATTACAGCACTCCACTTTTTTTTTAAAGTGTATAATGTAAGGTTTGTGAAAGGTGATTACCTGTGGGGAAATATTTTGAATGGTGTTATTTTTAGAGAGTTCAAATTTATATTTAATATTCTGCTTACTTACTTTTTTTCCCCTCATCTAAGAGATGTGACTATCAGAGAACAAGATTGATTTATTTTAAAAATTCAAAAACATACCAGAACTTACACATCCACATGAGTGTTCTTTCCTTCAAGGAAGTCACGTTGGGAGGCTATTCCATTATCCCAATGATGCTGGCATTGCTCAAAGCACTTTTGGAATTATCTTTAGAACCTTCGTCATACTATTTTGAATATCCTCAGTGGTGGCAAATCTTCGTCTTTTGAGGGTGAATTTGAATTTTGGAAACAAGCAAAAGCCACTTGGAGCCAAGTCTTGTGAATAAGGTGGGTGATCAAGATGGGTATTGCCATTTTTGGTCAAAAAAATAGGATGTAACTATAAAATAATGAGACTGATTTTTTTGAGTGATTGAGTTATGTGCATGTGTATTATTTCATATACACTGGTTCTTAAGACAGTTCCAAAGAGAAAGTTTATAAATATTTTGAGCAGTGAAAGTATCACTGGAGTTAAGTATGTAATCTCCTCATAAGGAATTCGATGGAGAATTTGCATCTGACTATAGATTTTCTGGTATGTTTTTCTAAAGTTCAGCCTCATTGATTTATAGTCACATCTTGTCCAATTTTCAGTTGGAAATATACATTTTTACCTCTCCATATAATTTCACTCATAATAGACTATTATTACTCCTAGGAAATGATGCAAAATCATGGTTTTGAAATATACATATACATATATATATTTTGTCTTGAAGCTTTTCTGGAATAAGATCAACTCAATTCTTATATACCCAGATGAATTCTTGAAGATAATTTGATTTTCACCCATGTATGGAAATGAGAGAACTTTTTTTAAATGAGCATGGGCTGGTAGAAAAAAAAAACAAAACTGGCCCAGCTAGCTGTATGATCGATCCTGGGCAAAGTCCTACATTGCTGAGTTTTAATTTCCTTATCTTTAAAAGCAAGAGATTAAAGTAAACAGTTTCTAATATCTCTCTCATCACTAAATGTATGATCATGTAGACTATGATGCATGCATATTAGCATAAAGTTGTTTGTCCTTCTTATACTCAGCTGCTCTTTACCTGGGTTATCCATTATTTAACCCATTGTCAAAGAAGAATGTGCACCCCTACCCCTCAGCTTCCTGTAGCTACTAACACTGTATATATATATAATGTGCCATAGGCCAGTTTCTACTTTCCGAAGACTAAGATCCTAATCCTGCTATGACAAGAAAATTCTAGGTGACCTTCAGAAAATTGCTTAAATTTCCTGACTTCAGTGTTTGTCACAAATAAAATAGTAATGCCTACCTCATACAATCATCGTAAGAATAAAATTATAGTGTTCCAGAAAAAGAAAAAAGAATAAAATTATAGTGTATATAAAGTGCTTAGTAATGCCTGGTATTTATCATACACTCACTGAATGATAGTGATTTTGATCACAAATCACAAATACATACTGTGCCCTAAAAGGTTCCTAGTTCATTTAGAACACATTATCTAGGTTGTATAACAGATTAGCATTGCCAAGTTTTATCTGTCAGGGAAAATATAGTTTCAAGCATTTTTTTTTCTAAATGAAATCTTAGCTTAGGTCATATTTGGTTGCTACTTAAAAAAAAAGTTAGTGGGAAAAAAGCACCCACAGAAGAGTTTTGTGATATAATGGATTCAGAGGTATCTGTAAACTTTTATCAAACTTAGCAACTGTTCTGAAGGTAATTTCATCAGCCCACAATGGGCAGGATGAGGGATTTAGGCTCTGGTCAACAGCCTTGCCCCATTCATGTTTTCAAGATAATACTCTTCATACATTCTCATCAACCTCATTTTTAGATAAAAACATACTGGGAACCAAGTGTTGCTGGCATAAGAGAAGGCTGAGATCTGTAAATAAACTACTTTAATCTTAGTAATTATCGTAGTTACAAAATATAGGTTTGCTGGGTACCATTCCATAGCAGCTTATAACTGATTTGGAAAATAAATACTCCGATGCATTTCCATTCTGGTTTCTAATGTGATTGTCAGTGTTTTCCCTTCCTTCAAATTGGCTTTTAGTCACAGAGGTGTTGTAAGTGCTAAATGGATTTGTTTAGTAGTCAGATAATGTCACAGTCACACCTTTCAAAAGCAATTTGCCATAAATGATTTTTTTAGCAGTGGCTTTTATTAGGAGTTCTGGTTTGCCAAGCAATGTAATTAGGAAGCTTGTCAAGGCACGGTGCAGTCACCATTGATACAGTGCAGAATCCAGCAATGACTTTTAACCATTTTACCTAGGCATATATAAGATTAGATCATTTTCCCATATTTCATATCTGTTATAATTGTGCTTATCTTAATGAGTACCGGAATGAAACAGACCTGAAGTCATAATGGCTCTGTGTGTCTGTATGTTTTGTTTTTAACATTAACACAAATTCCATTGTCCCTCAGAATGATACCTCCTACGAGCAAAACTTTTCTTGTCAATAACCTGGCTGCTGGAACTATGTATGACTTGTGTGTCTTGGCAATATATGACGACGGCATCACTTCCCTCACCGCCACAAGAGTTGTGGGTTGCATCCAGTTTACGACGGAACAGGATTATGTGCGATGCCATTTCATGCAGTCCCAGTTTTTGGGAGGCACCATGATTATTATTATTGGTGGAATAATTGTAGCGTCTGTGCTGGTTTTTATCATCATCCTCATGATCCGGTATAAGGTTTGTAACAATAACGAGCAACACAAGGTCACCAAGGTCAGCAATGTCTACTCTCAAACTAATGGGGCTCAGATACAAGGCTGCAGTGTCACACTGCCCCAGTCCGTGTCCAAACAAGCTGTGGGACATGAAGAGAATGCCCAGTGTTGTAAAGTTGCCAATGACAACGTGATACAGTCTTCAGAAACTTGTTCAAGTCAGGACTCCTCTACCACTACCTCTGCTTTGCCTCCTACCTGGACTCCAAGCACTTCTGTGTCCCAAAAGCAGAAAAGAAAGACTGGCACAAAGCCAAGTGCCGAACCACAGAATGAAGCTGTCACAAATGTTGAATCCCAAAACACTAACAGGAACAACTCAACTGCATTGCAGTTAGCTAGTCGACCTCCTGATTCTATCACAGAGGGGCCCACATCTAAAAGAGCACATTCAAAGCCAAGTAAGTTTCTCACTTTGCCTGCTGACAGATCCAGAGCGAGGCACAGGTACTCCCTGAATGGAGAATTAAAGGAATACTATTGTTTTAACTCACGGAACACGTGTGGACTGTTTTCTAAAAGAAGCATGTCTATGAATGCGATGTTAATTCAGTCCAACAGTTCTGATGGGCGTAGTGGAAAAGCATCTCTCTCAGATTCTGAGTGGATATTGGAAAGCACTGTGTAACCAATTATTTCTTTTTAATGAAGAAATTATTTTGAAAACTCATATAGGAAATTGGAATTTGAAATTCCAGCTTTGTTTCTCTGATACATGCCTCATAGAGAGAGCCAAGGTGTATAAACCTTCTAGGTACAGTTTGATATGTGAAGGTAACACAGATAAGATGGTTTAGGGGGAAAATCATGACATGACAGTGCCTTCCCCTGCCCTAGGACTGACCTCTAGGTTCTACAATAGCAGAGCACAAAATAAAGGTTGTCACGGGACAAAGAAGTCTTACATAAATAATGCTATTTCCTCCAGTCTTACAAAGGACCACCTAGGCTGATTAGTATTTTTCAGTGAGTAGATTGTCTATTTTCTTTCAAGGACAGTGGCATTTGTTTTTTGGCAGATATTAAAAAGAACACCTCTGTGTTGTTATGGTGTTTAAAATAAAATATTCAATAAGTATACCCAGACAGTGTTAAAATAGGTACACTTCTAAACAACATTCATGGTTCAGGTGCCTTAATAGATTTATGGTATTTCTCATCCATGACATAGCTTTTTTGGTGGGGAGCAAAAGAAAAGTCAAGTGATTTTGCATTTATCAAAGAAATCCAGTTCAGTTTCAAGTCACAGGCCAGAATTCTGTATGCTACTACCCTAGGCACAGGAAGGTGTTTTCATTCATTCGGTACACATTTGTGGAATGAATGAGTTTTATGTTTTTCTTTAAGTAAGTTAAAAAGGGAGACAAAAATACCAGGCTCCCATTATCAAAGGAATGTCTATTGTTATCACTAAGTGAAGTAAAAAAAAAAAAAAATACTTCTAATGGAATTCTTATTACATTTATAAGCAATATGAAGTCATTGCTCATTAACCAGATAGTGGTTTTGTTTTCCCCTTCTGCCTATAATTCTCAATTGGAATGTTTCTTTCTTAGAGTAAATGCATTTATTTTAACCAAAACCTGTGATGAAATTTAATTAGAAATCATGCAGCTTAGTGGGAATCCATCATTAAAAAATTCTTAAATTTAATCAGACAATAATATTGCTCCTTGATATATGGTATTCTTGGATATCCACTGAAATCAAGGTCTATAGATAAATGTTCCTATCTACTCGCTGAAAATCTTACATTATATTGCAACTTGATGGTGTTTCATTAAAGATTGGTAGATGGGGGTTAACATTAAGGCATTCTTTGGTATTTGGGATGGGAGGTTGAAAATAAGGCTCAGATGAGAATCTTGCACAAAAAAAATTAGCCATAATATAATAAGATACGTACTTTATTTATATAACATACTCCATGGGAGTAAGTTAAACAGTAAGTTTAATATCTCTTACAGATCATTTGGAAATATCATTAAAACACAGATGGTAGTCATTAGTTTAATTTTCTTCTACTAGAGGCATATGTAAAAACTTCAGTTAATTTTAACTTGACACAGAAACATTTTATACACGATTTATCATGATGACATTCAGAAACAGGTAAAATTAAAGCAGAGATTATTTTCCACACCAGTCTTGAAAAAAATTATCTAATGGGCCAGTATTATCTTAGGTGTTTCATAAATGCCTCCTCTGCCCTGGTTCCCTTTCTAAAGCTTTCCTTTCACATTTCGAAAATCTAATCAGCTTTCATGGGTCACATGTATAGTTCTTTGGAGGAATAAATGAGATTACATGTGTGATCATGTTTTGTAAAATCAAAAACATTACACAGAATGAAGTGTATCTTCAACACTATTTCTGTAATAATGCTCTAATCCCAATTTAACATTTCTAATTAACATCAATTACTTAATTCTTCAAAAGGTGCTGATGGACAAAAGCATATTGCTTTTCCCTTTCCTAGTTTTTACCTATATGGTATTAAAAAGTCCCAAATATATAAACGCTTTTGAGACTTAAACAAGTGAATCCCCAAGGAAGAAATCTCTGGCATTATGAAGGTTGTGGTCAAGGGGGCTCTGAAATCATGCATAAAGGACACAGTTTAGCATATCTGTTCCAAGTTGCCTGTATTTTAAAAAATCAATTTTCTGCTTATGTTTCAAATGAAACATTAATTCAATATCTTTTATTTCTTATAAACATTTAGAACTCTATAATATCTAATCATGTGAAATTTATTCTGTTTGACTAAAATCATTGAAACCATTTAAATTTTTATTAGTTTTACTCAAGACTGTTTTCAGGGTATATTAACCAAATGCATGAACACATGTTTTTAGAAGTGATAAAAAGGCTCATATTTCTGTCTTTCTATAAGTTTATATTTTGAAAGATCAACGAAAGATTGGCCTATCAAGAGGGTCAAATGTTTTTGTTTTTGTTTACGAGTATATGAAAGACTTTTTGCTCAGGGCAGTTTCAGTATGAAGTGACTGAAAAATAAATCTATGGGACGGTTGAGGGTTTTTAAAGGTACCCGGTATAATATCCGAAACACACTAGTTACTCAAATGAATGAATGAGTGAATGGATAGATAAATAAATAAATGAATGGGGCCAGGGAGGAAGGTGCAATAGTAAGAATTTTGATTATATGCACAATGTTGATTTGTGATCCAGCTATTTTATTACTATAAGCAAGAAATTCTGTCTCTTACTGTTTTTCTTTCTGTTATTTCTTGCATTTCTCATTTAACCAGCTATGTGTATGTGATCCAAAGCATATGGTTTGCTGTTGCTGACTATGTATAGGTTATATATATTGTTTTTTGCTTCCAAGTCCTAAATTATTTTTCTTTTTTTTTAGCCATGCTAAACTATGGTTACAGGTTGTTAAATATGATAACTAACAAACAATATATTTACAGATATTTGCTCCAAACATTTTTTAATTATATGTCTTCCTGTGTTGTTTTTGTTTCTTTTGGATAAGTGTCCCCCAATTCCAAAATGTCCAACTATTATTAAAGTAGGTCTTTTTATTTAATATATGTAATATCCAAGCATCATAAAGGGATGATGAAGCATCCAATGCTGCCTTGGAATCCTAAGAGGAAACAAAGTTTGGTTTGATGAATACTATTCATTTTGACCCTACAAATAGACTGAAACAGAGGTACATTAAATAAATAAATTAGATACGTAAATACCCTCACTGGGACCAATTTATTTCCTAATTTTTTTTTTTTAACCATTAAACGTAGTTAGTTAGGTTGAGGCCACAATAAGCTATTTTATGCTTTCAGACAGTTGATTTTATCTGCTCTGTAGATATATTTTCCAAAAAATGTTTTAGAATATTAGTTATAGAACTATTGTAAACCATTTATAGACATAACAAATCTATTATCTGAATGATACATACTTTCCCACAAGAAGTTGAGAAATTAAAAGAAAATTAAATGTGTTCCATTTATCTACAGGAATCTCTTTTTATCTTTTCTTAAGAAGTACTTTCTACTTCACTTTAAAGCACTCACAAAGTACTTAACTTCCAAACTAAATTTTAACTATTTTATTTGCTTGTATTACTGAAAGGAAACTAAGTATTTCATTTATAAAGGTAAAAAACTAGAACAATTATCACAAGATCCACAACAATGGCCTCTTAGTTCTGAAATTTTCCCATTTTTCCTTTTTATTCACAACAATAAGCTTAACAACAATCATTTAAATGCCAATAGTTAAAAAAATAAAAAGTGCTGAAAACATAAAGCATCTTATTGTACATAGAATTGCAAAGGTAAATGGGTCATTTTTCAAGGACTGCAGATCTGAACCCATTTTCTTATTGGTATGACAAAATTTCACTTCTATTTTATGTTGCTAAGAAAGCAATGTTCATTTATATTATACGGAATGAAGACTATCTATTATCTTTTCCTTGCTCAGTCATCCCTTGTGTTTAAGGAAGCATCCAGTCTTTCTTCTTTAACAGTGAATGTGGATGCTTCTGTCTGTAAGTGTTTGTAGTGTTTGGGGAAAGGACTGAAGTCCACCCAGAGGTGGTCCGGATGGGAAAAGGCTATTTTTCTTATCCTCCGCAGTTGATGATGATAATCATCATCACTATCGTTATATAGTCATTATTATTATTTACATTATAATGGTTGTGAGTGAAGCATTTTTGGGGCGTCAAATTTATGGATAAAAAATATCTTGTCTTTAAAATTTCATAGAGAAAAGAGAAAATAACCGAAATGAATGCCTGGGATTTTGTAATAGTTTCAGAGCTCGGTCTTTTCAGATTAGTCCATCCTTTTTCTCCCATGCTAGATAAATGCATGCTGGGACTACACATACACTTACTTTTGTCAGGTTTGGGGGATTTTGTTTGTTTGCTTTCTGAAATAAAACCAATCCTTCTTATAACAGTACCGAGGATCACTTAATATCGAAAGAATGGTGAAAATATTACTGTGATTGAGTCTTCCTAAAAATGTGGTATTGTCTGAAGTGTGGGACACAGAAAGTAGCACTTTCTACCTAGGAGTCTATTTAAGTATGAAATTTCCTTGTTAAATAAGGGTAATGTATTTGCAATTTTATCAAATATTACAAGTGATCAGTATAATAACTAGTGTACCATTGTCTTCTGGTTTTGTCAGCTATTTCTCAAAGTCGAAATTTAGGATCTAAAGTTACCATTGATAAAATATATACACAGTATATACTTATATATCTATATATGTAATATATAGATATACCAATATGTATGCTTAGCAAATTAATCAGTTAAAATCAGAATTTTGTATCTTGCAACATAGATTGTAATTGATGTAGCAAAATTATATTTAAATGGGCTAACTACCAGAGAACTTCTCCCAGAACAACTGTACAAGCTATATTACTGAGTTATAAGATTACAATGGGATATAAACTCTCTAGTAGAAATTTATTTTTCTGAACTTCCTAATGATTATGATCTCTACAACTTGTAGAGATCCGCTCTTTTCAAAGAGATGACTCTTATGTCCATGAATTTTAAAATTAAAAAAAATTTTTTTTCAAATGCATTCAGAGAAAGTCATGAAGTCCTTTTCATTTTGTGTTTGGAAGTGGATGTACATTTGATCTTGCCTGAAACATGAATTAGATACTGTGATTCTGCTCAGAGTATGTCCAATAAATTATTCAAATAACATGAAGGGCTTATGAAATATCCTATGTTGGCTCTACCATAATGTAATTTCCTAAACATTTTTTTTTCCTGGATAATGTGAACATGTCTTATTATTGCTTTCATGTAAAACCTAATCTCCAGAGGCAATTATAAATTTCTTTGAATGTTTGTGCTGGAGGTTCTATAAAAAAGTATTTTGTACTCTTCTCATCACACTTACCTGTGAACCCTGAGAATAATTTTTTCCTAATATTTTTTCTTATCATTGTGTCACTTCTTAATGACTAAGAGTATTTGTTTTAAAAGAGGACATATTGGAAAGAAATAGAATATGTGCTATGCAGGGCTAGGTAATGGTATTAAACATTTATAGCCAACTGGAACATACATATGGACATTTAAAGACAGAATGGTTGCATATAGAACATTAGTGTTTTATATGAGGATACTGGGTACTTCATAAAACATGATATTATTTTGGGGGCTATTGAATAATGATTATTGTAAATGATTATTTAATACTCTGCATGTTGAACATAGTGAAGCTATGTTTCCCATTTTGGATTCTCTTTTCCTTGGTGTATCTTTCCATATTAGTTGAAATGTTAACTTTGAGTAGGGAAAAATGAGTAGAAGCCTGATTCCCTTCTTGAACTCTTTGAGGAAAAGTGCATTCCATAATAATAATTACTCACGTTAGCAACTGGGACAATATTTTTAAAATTCTACCTGTATGGTGTATTATATATCAGGAAGTAGCCATAGACAACTACAAAGTATTTGCAAAAGTCAATTGCAATTAGCCCAAGAACACGTAAGTTTTTTTAAAAGAAGTCTAGATAAATCTCTGTTAAGAGAAATCTTATCAAGATTTCAGTGAGAAGTGTTTTCGGGTCTGTTTCTTAAAAATGGAATTTGTGTATTTGTTTATGACACTGAAAATTTTGTTCCCAGATGCTTTGCTGACTAATGTTGACCAGATTGTCCAGGAAACACAGGTGAGATTTTGTTACCTGTCTCATAGTTCAGCATTAAGTGGGCATACTCTTTTATAAATAATTTTTTTTTAATTTTTTGCAAGCTTATGTAACTTGTTGAAATTTTCCATTAAAACTACTCAGTTCTCAGTGGTACAAACTAAAGTTTAGTTTGGTTAAATGAATTTCCAGTTACTAAATTTAGACATATTTCTGGTTAACTGAACATTTCTGATTCATACTGTAAGAATAAAGGGAATACTAATGTGACTTTGGAGTCACTCTTATACCCATGCATGATATAATGTGCATTTTACAAATACTTCCCAAGACAGTAGCTTGATAAGAATGTATTCACTCCTTATCCTTGACCTCCACATCCTAATAGGAGCGGAAATGATACATTATACCTCCCTGGAAGTGGATGAACAGAAGTGTTTCAGTGTTACCCAAAATGAATGAAGCCACTATAAAATGGAGCAAAAGACTACATATGAAATATTCATGGTATTCCTTTTGTCAGCAACTGATTACTCTTCTTCTTCTTTTTTTGTTCCTTTTTGGAAGTTTCAAATGAGTGTTTGATTCCTGCATTTTAATTGGATCAGAAAGTGTGTTTCCAGAGCAGAATAGCACTTTAGCAATCTGTTCACACAGCTGGAGGCATCGGCCATTGGCTTAAGGTTTGGCACAGAAAAAATATTCTGCTTGTAAAAGTTCTAAAAAAGGCCACTGATTTATTTTTTTAGTGGTAAAAATAGGGTCTTTTTTTTTTAACATTTTGTATTTAAAAGATAATAACTTGGACAATCATTCAGGGTTTCCCCTAATGAGTTCCACTCCCAAATTAAACACCGTATTTTTCATGCATCATGTCTCTGAGTTCAGGATCCCAATCCCGTGTTGCAAAAAATGAACAGATGGCTCACTAGAAACAATCAATAGCCCAATGTCTGGCACACACTTTGTGTTCTGTTTTGTGTACTGAACTGCCCTGCGTGAAGGTGCATTGTTTCATCACCCCCCAGTGCTTCCCTTTCTCACTCTGAACCTCTCTCTCTCTCCTGCCCTACCTCTCTTGCTGCCTTCTTTCCTCCCTCTCTCTCTCTGCCTTTGATTTCTGAAAGTTCATTTATCATGTAACTTTGGACATGTAGCTGTTCTGAAAGAGAATATCTTTAGAAAGGGATTAGAAGGTAATTGGTTAATCTATCAGAAGCACAGTCCAGAACAGTGCTGTTTTATCAAGAATTGGAAGCAGGAGAGTCAATCTAAGGCATTTTTCAATTATCAATTAAAGTATGATGAGACCTCGGTGTAACTCTTCTTGGTACTTGGCAAATGATTTCTGCCTTAGGAGACCTATCCTTTCTACCCTGTCCATACTACCAGTGAAGCCCCTTGGAAGAGACTGACCTACGTGGCTGTCTTGTGCCTTTCCCATGGTTAGCAGTACTTCCCCAGGTGTGAGTGGAGTGAGGTAGAGCTGGTAGAGATTTCTTGTGCTCATGGCTTCCCAGCTCTTTTTTAGGGGGGGAGGAAGGGATATAAATTTTTAAGTTTTTATTACCTGCAGGATGGTAACAAATGTGTTTTACTACCCAAAGGCAAATATGTTTTCCAAAATTTTGGACACTGCCCAATGCATTAAATTTAAATTAAAAGGCTACCTATGTGTGTGTGTGTGTGTGTGTATGTATATATATAAAATTGGGGTGCCGGGGTAGCTCAGTTGGTTAAGCGTCCAACTCTTGGTTTTGGCTCAGGTCATGATCTCAGGGTCCTTAGATTGAGCCCTGTCTCGGGATCTGCTCTCAGTGGGGAATCTGCTTGTCTCTCTCCCTCCCCCTCTGGCCTTCCCCCTGCTCACTCCCTCTCTCTCTCTCTCTCTCAAATAAATAAATAAATAAATAAAATATTTTTTAAAAAAAGTAAGCAAAAAAACAAAACACCTTACAACACATTTTTGTTTTTAATATAACAAAATGTTTCCATGGCAACATTATTAAATTAATTATACCACAGTCCCTCATATAGCATCAAACTCTAATAGGAAGGTACATAAAAGACAGGTTCCATCCAGTCAGTGGTATAGGTGTTCCTTGTACTGAGGTATCTGCTAAGATCATTTTTTTCCCTAAGGTTGAAGAATTAATACATTTATATCATTTCCATTAGCCAGAATATGCCCTATGCCATTTTGTTTTCCTTAAGACCTTCCCTGCATGTGTATAGAAATAGAATGAACTTAAAATATTTGATATATCACATACGGTCCTTTTATAATAAAATTATAAGATTCTAATCACACTCAGATGAATTGAGAGCAAAGAGAAGAGGAATCAGCAAAACTGGTAGTAATTACATGTAAACTGGCACTTGCATATGTTAACCTTATGTTTGAAAAGATTGTTATACTTAAATCCAGTAAAACAATTCATATGCCATGTTTAGAAGTATAAAATAGGAACGGTTGACTAGTTGCATTTTTTTATTTATTTAGAGAGTGAGAGATGGGGGGAGCAAAGGAAGAGGTAAAGAGAATCTCAAGCAGACTCCTTGCTGAGTGCAGGGTCCAATGGGAGGAGTCAATCTCACAACCCTGAAACCATGATCTGAGCCAAAATCAAGAGTCCCACATTTAACCGACTGAGCCCCCCCAGCTTCCCCTGACTACTTGCATTTATACTGAAAATGTCTTAAATAACCTTTCTTAAAAAGTATTTGTTATATTCGGACCAACAAAATATGTGTACTGTGTGTGTGGGTGTGTGTGTGTGTGTGTGTGTGCGCGCGCGCGCGTGCGCGCTTAAGTATGCACAAGAAATACCCCTTAATCTACAATTGCTTGCACTAGCCTTTAAGGAAATAGCTTCCTGATTCTAATTAATTTGACTTCTGATTATTCTGTTTAGTATCAATTAAGGTATTTAACAAATTTAAAATTTGTCATAAAACCCCTGTCACAGGTGCAATAACCATGAAAAGAGACACTTTTTTTAGAGAAACTATTAAGGTATAAATGAATAAAAAGTAATGCTGATTATAAAGAAACACCAACATTTAACATAGGGTTAGGAAAAAATATGAAATAAGAGCTAAACAGCAAAGCAAATGTGTATATATGATCCAGATATCTTTCCAATGTTATTTCCCAGTAAAAATTACCATTATAAAGTATTTGGTTCTGTAGCGTTGGTTTTTTTCTAGGATATTCCTTTCAAGTGAAATTTTTAAAAATAAGAGTAATAGAATAGGCACATATGCACATATGTAGAAAACTTTTAACTAATTTTATAATAATTAAGCCCATTTTTGATATTTACTTGAACATTACAGTAAGTCAGAAAAAACTAGAACCCTAGTATCAGCAATGATTTTTAGAAATAATTTCCTTCTTTTTTAGATATCCTAACTATACAAGATAAAAATCATTCAGAGTTCTTACTTGCATTCAGAGTAAGGGCAGTAACAGCATTTTCCCACAATCCATTCAACGTCAGGACCTTTTTCCTTTTTTTAATATTGGGGTAGCTTCAATGTCCTCTTTTCTTTATAGTACTGTTCATAAAACTGTCCCCAGTATTTTGCATGATACCTTTTCACTGTTCAATAAGGAGCATTATCAAAACATCCTGAGCCTATCTCAAATTCATTATCTTTAGTTCTTGTAACATTTTAGCATGATTATTATAGTCTGTTTTTTTTCCTTTGTGATGCTCTTATAATTTGTGTTCATATTTAGATCTTTATAGAATCATTGTAAGAGTTTGTCTACTGATAAGTGAAGTAAAAAGTGTTATTTTGAATATCCTACATATACAAGTTTTTATTCAGCTTCATATTATGTCACCATTTCAATAATGGTAGTAGCTTCAGGGCAGGCAAATTCATACCATAATTTCCAAAGCTGATCGTTAATTGTATAATCTTTGAAATTAACAGCTTTTATAAAAGCCATAATTCCGTAGTTTGTTAATAGTTTTTTTATGTAATGTGAAAATGATCTCATTATAATATGTAAGCTTATGCAATCATTAACTTGATTTTTTTTTTTTTTTTAAGAGAGGAAGAGAGAGCTACAGAGAGCATGTGGGGGAGGGGCTGAGGGAGAAGTAGACTCCCTGCTGAGCAGGGAGTCCAACCAGGGGCTCCATCCCAGGACCTTGGGATCATAACCTGAGCCGAAGGCCGATGCTTAACGACAGAGCCACCCAGGAGCCCCTCATTAACTTGATATTAAAATGTTTTTGTATTCTGGAGGAATTTATTATTTCTAAAGTCAAAATAGTTATATTGTCCACTATATTTTTCTTCTATTTGTATTTAGTCTTTTCTATATCACTGCTTCCTGAAACTTGAACTTTGGTATAGTACAACTACATCTTTTTTCTATCAAAAGGAGCATATTATTGGAAAGACAAACAGAAATAAACTCATTGTAATCCAATTTCACCAAAATAAGCTATGCTATGAACCCAATAGATAGGAATTTATATATAATCCCATTGTAATTTAGAGTGATTTTGTGGAGTTTTTCTTAGAACATTCCAGGTAAAAAATGATAGTGAGATCTATATTTCAGTCATTTCCAAGGTAATTATTTTTTTATAAATAGGTTACACATCTATTAACTATTAACAGTTTTCAGACATGGTGTAAATCCTTTGTTTAATAATTTTCAAAAACTATTGTTTGTGCCAAAAGTAACTTCAGCTATTCAGATGAAATATTTTCTCTGCGCCCCGCCCCCGTTTTTTAAAGGTTTTATTTTTAAGTAATCTCTACACCCAGTGTGGGGCTCAGACCCACAGCCCTGAGATCAAGGGTCACATGCTCCACTGACTGAGCCAGCCAGGTGCCCCCAGATGAAATATTTTCTTAAATGAAACATCTCTACAATATTTTTCCTACCTTTATCACGTTAAGTTTTTTCTACACCAAATATGTTCTACATCAGCATTTTGATATAGAATAGTCTTCCATATTTCACGATTCATCTGTGCCATGCATTTTATAACACCCAACTTGTAAACATAGTTCTTTTTGAATGGGAAGGGACAAAAATTACTTCTATT